GGTTAAAAAGCGCGGAGTAAAAAGGTACGGATTCAGGGACCATTGACCGATCCTCTTTGCCGGTCGGTTTTTGCGAGTTCTTCCTACGACGTCTCTTTCCTCTCTAAATCTTTTCTCGTTTCAATTTCTCAAGCCGCTTAGCCTCTCGATTCGTCCCCTTCCTCCTTCCACCCTTACTCGATTCGATCTTCGTTTCGCGGAACTCGTGCGTGCACCTTTCATCATTCTTCGCTCTATGATCTTTTGCCTCAAAGCAAATTGAATACTTCTTTAACTATCTTTCAATTCATTCGCCGCAAAATAACGATCATATATTAATAATTTGATTATGATAATCGAAATATTTTCGAGATCTTATAAAAATCTTCTTTTTTTTGCTTTTAAAATTTTAAAATAAGAAACAAGTTTATTTTAGATTTCAATTGAAGATAGCAATGACTACGATGTGTCGAGTGTGATTAATTTAGCTATGACCTCTTAATCCGCCATCCGTGTCGTAATGATTCAATTGAAACAATTAGTCGATTAATGGCTCTATTAACTATTGTTTTTTCACCATTTCTTTTCAAATATTAACTTCTATGCAATTTTAAGAGAAATCTCTATTGTTTTTTTTTTTTTATTATTATTACCAAAATATAAATTGAACAGTATAGTATAATCTAATGATATTTCGTTAACTTATCCTTGTTGAATTGAATTATCTCAGGATGAATGAAAACGAAAAAATGTATTTCAGAGAGTCCTTGTAAAATATCCTGGAGTATTCTTCAACGTGTTTCGACTTGGTTGCCGAACCGTGCTGCTTTGCCAATTCCACGACGTGCTAAAGTTAGCGTATAGTCAGCGCGGAGCCAAGTGTACGATCTGAAGGAGCAAGAAGGAGCACGAGAAAACGTATGGAGAAACGAAAGAGAGATGTGGATGGTGGATAAGATAGAAATAGAGAGAGAGAAAAAAAATGAGTCAACGAAAAATAGAAGAGAGGGAAAAGAAGATGAAAGGTGTAGGATTCATGAAAGAAAATGAAGGAAAAAGAAAATGAGGTATAGACGAAAGGAAAATATGGTCTTTTTTAGGAGAAAAAAAAAAAAAAAAAGAAGAAAAGAGAAAGAGAAAGGTAGGAAGAGCGAGAACAGCCGTCTGTGGGTGGAAGACACTCGAGACAGTATTTATCGTAGCCAAAGTAATGAGCCACTCGGAGTATTAATAACCTGACCGCGGTGTAACGCTAGAGGTTTAGAATAAACGCGGGAACGCGGTGCAATTAGATGTCTGTGAGCGTCTTCCGGTATTCTGATTGTGATACTTTCCTTCTAAAACATTCTTCTACTCGTTACATTATAATTTATGATTTAAAATATATGTTGTCTATCTTTCTTATTTGAAACATTATTGTGATTAATATTAGTAAAACTTTTATTTCATTACGATGTTTTTTTTTTTTTTCTAGAAAAAGAAAGAATAAAAAAGAAAGAAACGAGGGGAAACAAGAACCAGAGTTGAATCTTTGTGGTTCTTTAAATCTGATTTCGTAAAAATAAACATCGTAATCTCATTTAATTTCCACGGATGGTCAATCTAAGTATTCTAATCAATAATATATTCACTACGTTATAAAAATCTATTATCTATCACCAGAAGCGTTTTAGGAACATTGACTTTTTGGTAAAATCGCTTGTTACTTCTCTTCTGAAGTATGTCATTATCCATCAATGACTTCATTGACTTCTCGGTTATTTGTCCGTCTTGGTAGATTCCAAAGTAATTATTGTTTCTTTCGCTTTATAAAAATAGATGCAAAATAACCATCTATTAATCCGTTCGAATCAATTTTCAGACGATTTTCAACATTATCAACATCAAGATAAAAATATCACGTTGAATATTGTCAACGTACGAAGCTTGAATATCGTGCATGTCTTTGATAGTTTTTTTCTTCTTTCTTTCAGTCTGTTGCATTTGGATTTGTATAAGAAAATCCTCGGAAGACGCCTTGATCCATGGAAGCAAGGATTTGCTCAGGTACAGGAGACAGTCGCGGTCTCTCAGCTGTGAACGCTGTGTCGAAATACTTGGTATCTAAAGTATGGTCCAAAGCTGGTTTGAAAGGTGGTTCCAATTGCCTCCTTTCTAATCTATCCCACGGTAATGTCTAAAAGAGATATCAAATTGGATTAAAATTATGATAAAAATATTAATTACAAGGAATTGTCTCGATTTTAGATTCATTCAATTGTGGAATAAATTTTTATTCCATGCAATAATAATAACGATAATTAATTACTTGGAAGAAGGAGTGCAAAGCGATTTCGTGGCCAGGAAGCCTTTTCCCAGAATCCTTTTCCAGAAGGGCGATTAATATATCAGTTGAATCTTGGCTCAGGTAACGGGGTATGAACGGTCTTTCATTACATATACTCCAAAATAGCTCGTCCTCGTCGCAACCGGAGAATGGCGACTGTCCCGTGAGCATCTCGTACAGAAGCACGCCGTACGACCACCAATCGACTGCTTGATTGTATTTCAGTCCCTTTATGATCTGCAATGCGGAAACAGTTGGTCGGTTAACCGAAAGGAATCAATCTTATTGCGAGATCAAATTTAGTATTTTAATTTTGGAAATTAAACATCGGTTTACGGATACGCTGCACGCACGTTGATGTTAATTCAGATTTAATTATTCAATTCAGAAGAGAATGATGTTTCTATCGCACAAAGAAGTGATATTTTTAGTTACATTTTGTATTCGTTACCTCGGGAGCCATGTAATCAGGCGTGCCGCAGAAAGTATCGGCGGTTCTGTCGAGGAAAATTTGTAGCTTGCACATGCCAAAATCGGCTATTCTGATATGCCCTTCGTAATCTAGTAATACGTTGTCCAATTTCAAGTCTCTGTACACTATTCCTTTCTTGTGCAAGAAGTTCAAACCAGACCAGATTTCTGCTGCGTAAAATCGGGCCCTTGGTTCGGGGAAACGACCCGATTTTTGAATATGGAACATCAAGTCGCCGCCATTCAGGTACTCCATCACGAAGAACAAGTGAGAATCTGTCTGGAAGGTACAGAACAGGTGACAGAGGTATGGATGCCTCGTGGCAAGTGTCAGGACTTTTCTTTCGATCAAGGTACATTCCACGTCGTCGTCTTCGAGGACCACATCTTTCTTCAAACATTTCACCGCGTAAACACACTCGGTACCTCGCAGTTCGGCTAACAACACCTTTCCAAAACTACCTTTCCCTAGGACCTGGAGAAAAGTAACGAATGTTAATGTTTCTTATTTTTTCTGAAAATTCAGTTCACATTATTAATTTTTATTCATTATTCATTGTATATTCGTTCATACTGTTAAAGATAACCAAACATAACCTTTTAATTATGATTAAAGAAATAGGTTAGGATTAAAAAGATTATTGAAATAGATATGAGAAGAACTAAAAATCTATCAGGAGTAATTATTTTAGAGCAACGGTGATCTACAAAAGTGAGACAAGGTTCTGTTACCAGATGGAAATTCAGGTCTGATAGAGTAAAAATGGCACACGGTGGAAAGTTCACGCGTCTAAAGCGAGAGTACGCACGTGAGAGAACTCCTGACACGTTAAAAATAATGCGTTACGTGCTGCTAATTCGAGTGAGTCTATTTGCGTGTGGTTCACCGTAAAATCAAATTTGTTTCAAATATTTTTCTTAATAAATTTGTTTATTAACAAATGATGATTTAGATTTCAAAATTCTCTTATCTTTTGATTTAGATGTTCCAAGAAGTAAGATCTATTTTACGTATGAATTTCAACAACGTAGAACAACGAGCTGTTTTTTTACCAGATTGCTACCATACTACGTTTTTTGGCAGTGTGATCGCATTGGATCGATCTTGAAAAAAAAACTTGAAAATCGAACGTTCATACCTTCTCACCTAGATTATTTCGCGAGAATGTCTCGTGACATGTGTTTAATTCATACGCGATACAGGCATATATGTTTACTCGGATTAATTTTCATTCTAACGAGCCAAAACAGTTCGTAAATTTTCGAGAATTATATAAAAAATAGAGAAGAATCTCGTATCCAAAATTACATCATTAAATTCATTAAAAACGAAATTTAAACTCTTAAAATTATTATTTGCTTAAACTATTTCGATATTTCAATAATCCAAGGATAAATACATTTTTTGTTTTCCATGAAATATATTTTCCACATAATTACGGAAGTATTATACGAAATATAAACATTTCTTGTTATTTCAAATAAATTTATATAAAGATGTTTGCCGATAGAGGAAAGATTATTCGATGCATGCTTTTCATCATCTTATATAGCGGATAATAATTTGAGTATTTCATCAGCGAAATTTCCAACCGAGATCTTGGCATACATTCGAAAGTTGCACGTGTCACGGTGAACATAGTCATCGCGGCTAAATATCGTTCGCAATGATCGACAATCTTGCGCAGCGGACTCACTTTTAAAAAGTTAAAGTCTGTCACGTTGTATTTTTTGAACCTAGGCAGGTTTGTGGCCGGTGGGGTGATCCTTCCACTGGGGAAATGATCTGAAGAGTCTGAATTCCTCTGGTTGTCCGACGACTGTGAAGGTGCTGTGAGATCAAAAGTAAAAATACCATATCAATCGATCTGTCGTTTTTTACGAACAATTAACAAAAATTTTTTAAAAAATTATTATCATTAATAATTTTTATTTTCACAATAAATATAAATAATATAATAAATTGATCTTGCAATTGCATCTTCAATGTTTCAGGTCGTGCAAAATTCTCTTTTATAATATTGCAAACCTATTTGCTAATAATTAATAAAGAACTACAATTGAATAACAACTCATTAATGAGCAAAAAGATTATAAGATTTTTTTTGTTTGTAAAAAGAGAATACGAGTACATTGAATTTCCTTCTAAAGTTTACACCGAAGCCAAGAAATGTCTGATTCTCCGCTCAAATTTCAATTAATAAGCGCATTAATTGTTGGTAAGATCCTGGCACGTGAATATATTAGATGTTGGCCGATTGGCATTTCTCGAAAATAGAGCTGACCGTCCTATGACGTGTGCAAAATTTTGAGGAACGTGACACGAGTGATCGATTGGAGGACAGGTAGAACGATTATAACAGGTATAAGTAACAGAATCTGATTTAACGATGATTTAATTTTGATGAAATTACGGTATCATCCATCATATTATTTACCAGTTGGAGCGAAAATGGATTTATAACAGCCACGTGGAGTTACAGCGAAGTGTACAGATGAATATACTTCCTGGGCCAGCCAAGTCTGACTCTATGGGCCAACGTTCAAGATGAAATTCGAAAAAAAAA